TATTAAGCTATCCCAGTATGCATCAACACATGCGCCGGTATTTAAATTAATACAATTTACATATCCTTTGATACAATAATGTTCGATAACTCGTCTTTTTACAAGATTTCTTACTTTGTACAATATTTTAATAATATTTCAGTCAATAATACAATTTGTTATATTGCCATGGGGATTCGGTTCTATTTAGTCGGATTGCCGCCTCATGTTCTTTCAGTCTCACTTCAAGTTTTCTTCCTGTTTCTCCAATATAATATTTCTGTTCCGTACAAGTAGACATCAACCTATATACGACTCCTGCTACTTCTAAAGGATTCCTCGATTGTTTCTCATTTACTTTGTTAATCAAACAAATACTCTTGTTTAATTTATTTCTTTGTTCACCTACTAAGTTTTTTGGAATTTATTAGTTTTAATATTTACAATAACCGATCCCATTATTTTATTTTTATTATTTGTTTACTATCAAATGAATTATTTTGTATTAAGTTAGGATTTTGACAAGGATCACAATATTGCATCCATTTCTGATTTGCTGTCCATTAAATCTTTTGTCAAGACACACTAACTGAGAGATCCAAGAGACAATTGCATACATAGGAACATTCTGACTGCTCTACATGAGTGTTCACAGAGGGGGGGAATGGAGACTTTCTCTCTGGTATTGAGTAAAAAACATTCTAAAAATTATAAATATAAAAGTGAAAGATAGTAACTATATACTTTTGACCTTGGGATGTCTGTCTTTTTGTATGATGCAATACTGTATTCTATTATCTACTTGTGAAGAAACTTCAATAAATTTTCATTTATTTATTTAATTTTTTATATAATTATTTGTCTCCAACTTTTGTCCCCCCTGTGGAAATTTTCTGCAGAAACCTATGCCATTCTATATTTTCAAATGTTCAGTATGAAATATATATGAAAAAGCTGTATTATACTATATTTAACTCCTTATTCCTTCAAATTTATTTTATTTTTTATCTTTCTATTTTGTTACAGAATTGTTTACTTTGTCAAATATTTTCATTTATAAGAAGAAAAATTATATTTATTATTTACATCATTATTATTTTTAACTCAGTTGTGTACTTCCTGATACAGAACCCTTTAAATGATTATTTTTAATTAATTTGCATATGTTTATATGCAATAAAATAAATTAAACATTAATTATTATGCTAGACTACAAATATAAATGATAAAAAATATTGACATTTCAGATAACTATAGTCAAATTGTTAGGGATGTACCTAATACAAGTGGTATTAGTACATCCAATATTTGCAGTAGAATAACAAAAGAGAGCGGCCGGTTTGGTATCTCTGCAACATGAAGGAAAAGTGGTTGTGAATATAAAACAGCACCTCACAATGATATCATTGTTAGTACAGAATTTGAATTAAATTCATCTCGATTGTTTACAAATTATCTAGTATCATTAGTGATACTTCAATGGCGTGTCAAGCTTACAAATATATATTTTAAATGTGTATCAATATTGTTTAGCAAAATATAAAGAAAGGGCTCTATTGACAAAATGAATTTTAATAATCTAGAGAGGAAATTTGTATTGACTTATATCAATATAAAATAAATATTCCACTAAACCATACACAGCAAATACAAAAGAATATCATAAAAAGGTTCTGGAGTTATTGCAGCTAATTTGAAATTCTTGCATATTGAGAGAGGACTAAATAATGATAAATACATCAGAATATTAGAAAGTTATTACTTTTCTTACTATGTGTAATTAATTCCTTTCCTGAAACAACAGTTTACATCATCATCACTCTCTCTCTCAAAAAGAAAAAGAGAAAAATACTAATTATAATTGAAAAGAAAAATAGAATCCATTTAAGATCAGATATACAATAATCTTCATAAAATCACATACACAAACACTACATTAAATTTTGATGCCAAAATACAAGTGCTCCTCAGTGACCAGCAAATAAAATCACCAAAACTAATAGTTGGGTCCAGATTGGCACACACTGGGCCAGCCATATAGAATTTTCCAGGTTTTATTTATGTCTAACACCTAAATTGGGCCCAATTTCTCATAGAAACCCCTCCTCTTGTATTAATTATCCTGACCAACCAAACTAAAAAAAAAATACATGGAAGACGTATTGAGATCCACAAATGTAGATCAATTATTGCTTTGTGTGTGAGGCACATACCCAATTAATAATTAAAGTAACATTAGTTAAATGTAGGACTATTAAACAATCTCTGCTTAGTATATATAGGCCTATAAATCTGTACAAGGATAATGCAAGAAATAATCAAAGAATCTTAAAATGCATGTACTGTACATGTAATAACTAAGTACGTTTTGAAATAAATAAATAAATATTTATTTATTTTTTTGAAAGTGAAAATGGGGGCACATTTTTTGGATTGAAAAATAAAATGAATGAAATGTGCTCTCTGTAAAGTCTATTAAAGAATATTTTAATTCTATTTTCTGTTAAAAGAAAATATTTCTTCAATTTAAGAGCTAAAAATAGTTGGAAAATCATCTTATTTATAATGAAATTATTACATTCTCGCTCCAGTGCTTAAAAAGATTTTGTTTTAAAGAATAAAATTATTTTCTAAATTTCTTATTTAATATTTACTCTCAACTTGTTTGGATTTAAATACGATATTTATAAATATTTACCAATTAAATTTGTTAGAATTGATATGCTTGAAGCATTATAACAGCCCGTATTATTCAAATTATTAATTTTTTCGTTTAAAAATAAATATTAATATATTTAAATACATTTTAATATGATTTTAATTATGTTTACGTTATCAAAATACTTAAATTTTTAAATATTTTCGCTGCAAAAAATAATAATTTTAATACATCCGGGTAATAAGTACCGTTTTTTGTTAATAAAAAAAAAGGTAAAAATACCCATTTTTTAATACTTTTTAAACATTAAAAAAGAATTTTCGAAATTAATTTTAAAATATTTCGTGTAAAAAGATATAAAATTCCGGAGTATGATGATATTTTATTTATAAGAACGTAGCCTAATTTTTTAATACATGTATCTTTTTTTAAAGGTATTCTTCGCACGTCCTAGCTCTACAGTAGATAAACTTTAACAGATTTAAATATAAGATTAAAAAATATATAAAATAAAATTCGGAAAAAGTATTGAGAGTGACANCCAATAAAAATATTTCAAAATAAAAAAAAAACTTGTAGATATATTAAACTGCACTTTCTAGTGAAGAATTCAACAGAGAAACTGACAGTCCCTCGTGTTAATAAGTTACATACTCTGAACCTAAGCAGTTTTTCCTCTCCTCCTCCCACCTCTAAATCCCTCTATTTTATATATACAAAACGTTAAATTATCTGTACCAAAACCCTAAAAATTGTGGGCTTAGGGCATTATCTATGTAAGAATGGCGTGCTTATTAAGTTTTAATTAATAATAATTACAATGTTTTTAATATGTAAAAATGGAGAAATTTTAATGAAAATCTACTAAAAAGTATATATCGGAGTGAATAGTAACTTGAGTAGTGAAGTAATAGTAAAGTTCAATGACCGTTAGTGATTCCCCCCAAATGATAGTGACCTTTAAGTTATTTTTTTTGTTGGAAGATAGTTTCGAAAAATAATTTAATGACTTTTGCGAACGTACGATTAGAATGCATCATTAGGATTACCATTTTTAAATGAAAGATACGCGGAGTCGTTATGTTTTGAATTAAAATGTCGAGTTGGAAGCTCGCTAAAATAAAAAATTCTAAGTTACAGTATATGTGAATGTGGATTATAAAGTAATTAAACCTTTTATACTTAAAATTTACATTATAAATCGTATAAAATATATTGAAAGGAGCCGTCTTATACTGAATAAGCTTGCAGCTGAAAACACCTCAGTAGAAACGAGCGAAAATTATTGTGACATCATCACAATGCCAGGCTGCAATTTTTAATTTACTTAATTTAAAATATATGATCTCGATCTCAAATTAATAGTGTTTTACCCCTGTACATCATACTTTTCCTGATAACAACAGAGTCATGCCGGTCATCTAACTCCGTTCTGGGGAATTTTTGAATTGAAATCACATGACTTCCGGTGTAGACTGAAAGTTAATAAATAGTTAATCGGGGCCACCTGTCCCTACTCTTTCCATATCTGGTCTCGACTTTCATCTATCTAACACCGTTCTCGAGATTAAAGAAGAACGACAGTGGGAATTTATAGTTCTATAATTTTTTTAAATCGCAGCCCAGTTATTAAAGTATATATTTTATACAATTTACAGTAAATAAACGGAAGAATCGCGTGTATTTTTTCCTTTATTTTTAAGTGATATCTGCGGATATGTTAACTTACTATGCAATTTCCTACGATGGAAGCGCGGGCTGCCAAGGAAGCTATTACGGATGGTGGAAAGACGAGATTTCCAATATGGTTGGTTGAGATTCGGCGAACCGGGCGGGGTACTCAATGGACTGTCTTCGGTCGGTCCTCGAGCTGTTGGTTTAGGAGAACTGAGAGGAGACACCGATGGACTGGAGGAGTGTAAGCAGCTGCCGCTTCTCCTTCCCCTTCTATTCACAGAAAAATCAATTCACTATAATTGGAAACCTCTTCACATATCCAGAACCAAGATTATAAAATAGGAATCCCACTTACGCGTATGGATACCTTCGCGTCGTTACGGGAGATCCTTCTGTCAACAACTCGAACGAGTATCTAAGAACGACAGTAACGACAATTAAAATTGTTTAATTACTCTGTTTATATGTATATGTATATATAAAAATGTATTACTTGGGGCCTGCTCTTCCATTTACTTGACAGGTATCTACCCTCTTTCTGGGAGGATCGGCTGTCGGAAAAGTAATGCAATAGTCAGATTTTAAATGTGGCAATTTATTATTTTTTGAAAATATTAATGTTTTCTCACCCGATTCCGATCGATTGCGTATGATGACGTCTGTTTCGTCTTCGTACGAGGGTTTTCGTTTCTTGCGATCCAGGAGCAGGAAATAGATGACTTTTTCCGTGTTGTGGCTATGGAAGAAATCAATTTTGTCTCGAGAACAGTGTAAAAAAAAGCTCATACACCAATTAAAATTTCGCTTACGTTTCGTTTAGTAATTCTTGAAGTAGTCGTTCTTTATCTTTAAAACAACCTAGGGACGTCATACTGGATAGTACATCGGGGTCTAAGTCGTCGACTGTTGGTATGATGTGTGTCTGCAATATTTACGTATATTAAAAACGGACTTAGTTATATTCATAATTTAATAAATAACTTACTTGTACGACTTCTTTCATGGGTAATTCTAACTCTAACTCTGTCTTGTTTCCTCTAGAAATATCAATAAATATCCAATTATAACACTTAAATTATGTATTGTCGAGTTATGAATAGTGAATCTGTACTCACGCCATCACCCATGGGTGCTTAGTCACATCTGCTAACTATAATTTTAAAAAAAAGGAAGTAAATGTTAAAATATGTAAAATTTTAAATCACCTTCAATAAAATTAATTTAATGATGAACAGCATTTAATACTTAAAATATAAATTCAATTATTATTATTATTATTGTTGTTGTTATTTTCCGATTGTATGCTCATTTCTATCATTTCTAGAAGAGACAATGCATTATATATATAAAATTCTCATGTCACTTTATGAACTAGCTAAAGTTAAGTCGTTGGATGGAGACAGCTGCTGAATCATTTGAACTCTCCCGTATCGATTATATTCCTGGCCCTGAACATTTTTATTTCTTATCGTAGTCAATTGCAGTCTATCTACGACTTTATCAATTATATCTGTCTTCCGACTTCCTAACTCCCTATTTATTATACAACTAACTCTCGATTATTCGTTCGCAGATTATCCGTGCAGGAGGAAAGACAAAAAGCGGGAAAGCTTCGGCAATTAATCTTGCAGGTTTGATATATGAGAAACTCGTCCTACAACTCCTTTAACTGCTTCCAAACGTATTAAATTTGTCGACTTTGCATAGTTTCCTGCCTAAATTTGATTATATTAAAGATATAGAATTATTAAAATACAGTTCTAAACCATGATTAGAGTATAAAACTAGTGAAAATTTAATATTTTTTTGGAGAGATATTGATGAAGTTTTAGAGCGCGAATCACGTGTAGAATAATAATGAATTCTGTTAAATAAGAGCATCTTCCGAAAATTTTATCCTCTTATTTCCTTCATTTTATCTAAAAATTTATGAATTTTAACACACGCTAATGCCTTTCATAATTATCAACTGGCAGACTGGAATGTAATGACTTTTATGGCAGCTATATATATTTTCAGTTTAGGCTTGCCGTCAGCCGGCTACTACCTCCTAATTTTTGAGTCTATACTCTAAAGTTATATTGTTCTGCGACTTCATACAAGTATACGAAATATTTTCTGCCGCTGTTGGCCTACAGATAAGAAACGTAAATACATTTCTCTGTCCATTAACTTTCTACCTGTCTATTAGTAAATGTATATGTTTATACACCTAATAAAACGAATTGAATCGGGCATCACACGGAAACTATCAGAAATTTACTGGCAGATAATCGGATAGTGACGCTGTAAAAATGACAAAAATGAATACAGAGCAAGATTTAAATGTCACGACACAAAACCTATTAAAATTTTTTTAAAAGGTCTCTCGACTTTTATCAACTTATTGATCCGAATTTTGTATTCAAAGATTCTCTCGTCTCTCTATAAACGGAAATAGACTCAATTTCCAAAGGGCCATAAAATGGTTTACTCTTCATTAAAAACAAAAAAAAAAAAGTCGATAAATAAATAAAATCCGCATGAAACATTCTGACGATTTCTAGGAAAGTTTCAGAAAACTTTCAAAAATTGCTTACAAATTTCTCTAATCTTCATCACATACTGTGTAAGAATTTAGCTTTATATTGGTTTTTTAATTCGATCCGCATGAAATATTTTCAAAATTTTGATGCATTAAGCCTTTAACCGCGCTAATTTTAACATTATCTTCGTTTCTTCTAAAAGATTTACGCTAATTTCAACACTCCATTCTATTTACTCTACTTCAACGTATCGACTCTCATCCTAGTCACGCCATTTCTACTTATCCACGCTGCTTCTACGTAACAACCCCCGTGCATGCCGTTTCTACATATCTACCTATCCTCGCTGCTTCAACCTATTCGCTCTAGTTTCAACTTATCGACCCTTATCCAGCTGCTTCAACGTATCGACCGTTATCCACATCGTTTCAAAGTATCTACGTATCCACTTATCCACTATGCTTCTGTCTTCAAATTCCTTCGACTATCCACCTTTTAATCCACGCTGCTTCTACAATATCTACTTCTATCGACGAAGTTTCTACACGCTACCTTTACGTAAACAAAGATACCGATAAAGTCCAAACAAGAATATCGATTAAGTCCAGATAATGACTGAATTCGAAGAATAATTTCAGTTCCAGTTATTAATTTTATAAGGGGAAAAAACTTTATAAACATTCCTGAAAATTATTAGNAAACTATTTTCAATTTGATCAATTTTCTGGAACGTTTACAATCGTTCTATAATTGAGCCAATTCAAATTTAAAACGGTTCGAACATTTTTAAAATCAAAATAGAAAATCTTCGAAGTCAACTACTTTAAACCCCATATCTCCTGCACCCTTATAGCTATCGAGACGCAACCACCATAGTGCACGAATGGAGACTTGGGGCTATTACCACATACAAACACCATTCATGTGCAATTTGTAGTTTTGGCTGAAAAGTGAAATATAGGGACACACACTTTCCATTTTTATATATATATATAAAAATGGAAGTGTGTGTCCCTATATTTCACTATACTGGGATAGCTTAATATACAATACTTTTGTACTCTATTAAGCTATCCCAGTATGCATCAACACATGCGCCGGTATTTAAATTAATACAATTTACATATCCTTTGATACAATAATGTTCGATAACTCGTCTTTTTACAAGATTTCTTACTTTGTACAATATTTTAATAATATTTCAGTCAATAATACAATTTGTTATATTGCCATGGGGATTCGGTTCTATTTAGTCGGATTGCCGCCTCATGTTCTTTCAGTCTCACTTCAAGTTTTCTTCCTGTTTCTCCAATATAATATTTCTGTTCCGTACAAGTAGACATCAACCTATATACGACTCCTGCTACTTCTAAAGGATTCCTCGATTGTTTCTCATTTACTTTGTTAATCAAACAAATACTCTTGTTTAATTTATTTCTTTGTTCACCTACTAAGTTTTTTGGAATTTATTAGTTTTAATATTTACAATAACCGATCCCATTATTTTATTTTTATTATTTGTTTACTATCAAATGAATTATTTTGTATTAAGTTAGGATTTTGACAAGGATCACAATATTGCATCCATTTCTGATTTGCTGTCCATTAAATCTTTTGTCAAGACACACTAACTGAGAGATCCAAGAGACAATTGCATACATAGGAACATTCTGACTGCTCTACATGAGTGTTCACAGAGGGGGGGAATGGAGACTTTCTCTCTGGTATTGAGTAAAAAACATTCTAAAAATTATAAATATAAAAGTGAAAGATAGTAACTATATACTTTTGACCTTGGGATGTCTGTCTTTTTGTATGATGCAATACTGTATTCTATTATCTACTTGTGAAGAAACTTCAATAAATTTTCATTTATTTATTTAATTTTTTATATAATTATTTGTCTCCAACTTTTGTCCCCCCTGTGGAAATTTTCTGCAGAAACCTATGCCATTCTATATTTTCAAATGTTCAGTATGAAATATATATGAAAAAGCTGTATTATACTATATTTAACTCTTTATTCCTTCAAATTTATTTTATTTTTTATCTTTCTATTTTGTTACAGAATTGTTTACTTTGTCAAATATTTTCATTTATAAGAAGAAAAATTATATTTATTATTTACATCATTATTATTTTTAACTCAGTTGTGTACTTCCTGATACAGAACCCTTTAAATGATTATTTTTAATTAATTTGCATATGTTTATATGCAATAAAATAAATTAAACATTAATTATTATGCTAGACTACAAATATAAATGATAAAAAATATTGACATTTCAGATAACTATAGTCAAATTGTTAGGGATGTACCTAATACAAGTGGTATTAGTACATCCAATATTTGCAGTAGAATAACAAAAGAGAGCGGCCGGTTTGGTATCTCTGCAACATGAAGGAAAAGTGGTTGTGAATATAAAACAGCACCTCACAATGATATCATTGTTAGTACAGAATTTGAATTAAATTCATCTCGATTGTTTACAAATTATCTAGTATCATTAGTGATACTTCAATGGCGTGTCAAGCTTACAAATATATATTTTAAATGTGTATCAATATTGTTTAGCAAAATATAAAGAAAGGGCTCTATTGACAAAATGAATTTTAATAATCTAGAGAGGAAATTTGTATTGACTTATATCAATATAAAATAAATATTCCACTAAACCATACACAGCAAATACAAAAGAATATCATAAAAAGGTTCTGGAGTTATTGCAGCTAATTTGAAATTCTTGCATATTGAGAGAGGACTAAATAATGATAAATACATCAGAATATTAGAAAGTTATTACTTTTCTTACTATGTGTAATTAATTCCTTTCCTGAAACAACAGTTTACATCATCATCACTCTCTCTCTCAAAAAGAAAAAGAGAAAAATACTAATTATAATTGAAAAGAAAAATAGAATCCATTTAAGATCAGATATACAATAATCTTCATAAAATCACATACACAAACACTACATTAAATTTTGATGCCAAAATACAAGTGCTCCTCAGTGACCAGCAAATAAAATCACCAAAACTAATAGTTGGGTCCAGATTGGCACACACTGGGCCAGCCATATAGAATTTTCCAGGTTTTATTTATGTCTAACACCTAAATTGGGCCCAATTTCTCATAGAAACCCCTCCTCTTGTATTAATTATCCTGACCAACCAAACTAAAAAAAAAATACATGGAAGACGTATTGAGATCCACAAATGTAGATCAATTATTGCTTTGTGTGTGAGGCACATACCCAATTAATAATTAAAGTAACATTAGTTAAATGTAGGACTATTAAACAATCTCTGCTTAGTATATATAGGCCTATAAATCTGTACAAGGATAATGCAAGAAATAATCAAAGAATCTTAAAATGCATGTACTGTACATGTAATAACTAAGTACGTTTTGAAATAAATAAATAAATATTTATTTATTTTTTTGAAAGTGAAAATGGGGGCACATTTTTTGGATTGAAAAATAAAATGAATGAAATGTGCTCTCTGTAAAGTCTATTAAAGAATATTTTAATTCTATTTTCTGTTAAAAGAAAATATTTCTTCAATTTAAGAGCTAAAAATAGTTGGAAAATCATCTTATTTATAATGAAATTATTACATTCTCGCTCCAGTGCTTAAAAAGATTTTGTTTTAAAGAATAAAATTATTTTCTAAATTTCTTATTTAATATTTACTCTCAACTTGTTTGGATTTAAATACGATATTTATAAATATTTACCAATTAAATTTGTTAGAATTGATATGCTTGAAGCATTATAACAGCCCGTATTATTCAAATTATTAATTTTTTCGTTTAAAAATAAATATTAATATATTTAAATACATTTTAATATGATTTTAATTATGTTTACGTTATCAAAATACTTAAATTTTTAAATATTTTCGCTGCAAAAAATAATAATTTTAATACATCCGGGTAATAAGTACCGTTTTTTGTTAATAAAAAAAAAGGTAAAAATACCCATTTTTTAATACTTTTTAAACATTAAAAAAGAATTTTCGAAATTAATTTTAAAATATTTCGTGTAAAAAGATATAAAATTCCGGAGTATGATGATATTTTATTTATAAGAACGTAGCCTAATTTTTTAATACATGTATCTTTTTTTAAAGGTATTCTTCGCACGTCCTAGCTCTACAGTAGATAAACTTTAACAGATTTAAATATAAGATTAAAAAATATATAAAATAAAATTCGGAAAAAGTATTGAGAGTGACATAAAATATATTATTAAACTTTAAAAATTTTTCCTGCTTATTTTGGTATTACCTATAAAAATATTTCAAAATAAAAAAAAAACTTGTAGATATATTAAACTGCGCTTTCTAGTGAAGAATTCAACAGAGAAACTGACAGTCCCTCGTGTTAATAAGTTACATACTCTGAACCTAAGCAGTTTTTCCTCTCCTCCTCCCACCTCTAAATCCCTCTATTTTATATATACAAAACGTTAAATTATCTGTACCAAAACCCTAAAAATTGTGGGCTTAGGGCATTATCTATGTAAGAATGGCGTGCTTATTAAGTTTTAATTAATAATAATTACAATGTTTTTAATATGTAAAAATGGAGAA